TCTATCTATCTATCTATCTATCTATCTATCTACCTATCTATCTATCAATCAATCATCTATCTATCTTTGCAGTGCTGAGGATTGAACCTATGGCTTCATGCATGCTAGACAAGTGCTCTACTATTGAACTATACGTCTAGTCCAATAGCTCATATTAAGAAAGAAAAAATATGCCAGGTGTGGTGGCGCACACCTTTAATCCCAGCACTTGGGAGGCAGAGGCAGGTGGCTCTCCGTGAGTTTGAGGCCAGCCTGGTCTACATAATAAGTTCCATGCCAGCTGGGGCTACAGGAAGACCCTGTCTCAAAAAGACAAAAAAGACAAAAAAGACAAAAAAAAAAAAAAAAAAAAAAAAAAAAAAAGAAAAGAAAAAGAAAAAAATCTGCCGGGCATGGGGTGTACTCCAAGCACTTGAGGGGCAGAGGCAGGCAGAGCTCTCTGAGATGGAGGCCAGCCTGGTCTATAGTGAGTTCCAGGCCAGCTGGGGCTATACGGTGACCCTGTCTCAAAAAGACCAAAACAATAACAACAACAAAAAAAAATCTATTTTCTCTCAGTTTCTTAAAACGGCATTCAATAGGCTTGCTTCCATTATTTATGACATCTGCTAGCTTTGACTGACTGGATGGGCTCTGCTCACATTGAGAGGACAGTCTGCTCTACTCGGCCTACCAATTCAAAAGTTAATTTCATTCAGATACACCTAGCATGTACCACCAAATGTCTGGGCAACTTATGGTTTAGTCAAGATGACACATAAAGAAAATCATCACAGTTAATAAACTTGGATCTGTGCTGTGCAATGCCCATGGAGGTCAGAAAGAGGGCATCAGATCTGCTGAAACAGGAGTTACAGGTGGTTGTTAGCTGCCATGTGGGTGCTAGGAACCAAACCTGGGTCCTCTGCAAGAGCAGCCAGTGTTCTTAACTGCTTAGTCATCTCTCCAGTCCCAGGTCTTGTTTTTAAACAATTTTTTCTAAGGCCCACATTAAGCTTTCCTTTGAGCTCTGACAACTCTATCTTGCTACTCCACAACAAAGCTGACTTAGTGTAAGGTAATCTACTGCACATGAACCTTACACATACATAATTCTTTTAAATCTATTCATGAATTTATTTTCCTCCTTTCCAAAAGATAAATGAACTCAAGCCTTTGGAAATAATATAGTGCAAAAGTCCCACTAGAAAATATATTCAAGATCTGTTTTGAACATGTGAGTAATGATATCTCATACCATATAACTATTAGATATCATCGTAAATTTTACCTGCAAGGTTTTTCAAAATATAGCTCAGTCACAAGCCTGCCTCCTGATCTCTGGGTTTAATTCATCATGTAAGCGACAACAAGTTCTTTAGTGTTATAGTCACATTACCCTCCTTTGCTCCTCTTCAGCATCAGCAAAAAGCTTACGAATGTTAGCCTCTGATTCGCCCACATATTTGTTAAGGATTTCTGGCCCATTGACCACCTTGGGTTCTCTTGCATTCAGCATCTTGCCAATCTGTCGAGCCAAGAGAGTCTTACCACAACCAGGGGGGCCATATAACAGGATGCCCTTAACATGTTTACAGCCTGAAAACAAAAAAGAAACAGTCTTGTATCAACTAACTAAAACCACGGTAAGATTTCCATCTAAAGAAAAGTTCACTTTTTTCTTCACCCGCACTTTAGGAAAAAACACACTGATGTCACTTATTAATCTCCATGTGCTATGAACAGACAAGAATGAACAGTCAAACCTCTTATTTTCTTAATAGAAAATCCAGACAATCTCTAACTGCTCCTGCATTTGAAGAGGGTGGGGAGCTGCCAGTTACAAATCTTTGGGAAAGTATTTAACTATCACATAGAACAAACACTTTTACTCTGAAACTGTCTCTTTAACTTAAATATCTAATTAGGAAATATTACTTATTTCATTATTCTTTTAAGATTAGGTGAAAAATCTGCTTTGTGGCAGCTCTAGCTGCTATGATACAGTAGGCTATGGAAACTATATCTTAGCCCTAGGATAATGGGCCCACCAATCAAAACGAGCACTTAAAAAAGAAGCAGGTATGTCTGAGTTGGGTGGGTATAAGCATCCCTGAGTCGGGGGGCGGGGGCTGTCACTACTTTTGTGGATTAAATTCTTCTGTGGATGAACGTCTTACTTTGCATGAAAAATGTCAAGTGAGGCACATGCTGATTTTTTAGAGCCATCCAGATGAAAACAAAGTTTCAAAAGTCATACTCAATTATTTTCTAAGCAAACAATGCTAAATGGCTTAAAGATACCATTAATAAGCCAAACTACAAAGACTGATGATTGGGCTGGGCATGGTGGCCATGCCTTTAATCCTAGCACTTGGGAGGCAGAGGGTGGATCTCTGTGAGTTTGAGGCCAGCCTGGTTTACATAGTGAGTTCCAGGCCAGCTGGGGCTACAAGGAGACCCTGTCTCAAAAGACCCCCCCCAAAAAAAAAAAAGACTGATGATTTACACAGGGCTTCTCCAGTCACCTCTACGTGAGTGCTCACTCCATTTCTAAGATGAAGATGGCTTGTGGCTTCTCTCGTCTCTCTTCCTAGCTCTTTCACAGGTGTGGAGCATGGTTTCTTTCAGACGAATCTTTTCTTTATACTATACTGAAAAAGCACTCTGAAATAACTGATTATTAGATTCCAATGTTACTCTCATAACTACAAATGGAAAAAAACTGTGGAAATGCAATATACATAGTGTGTTCCCATGGAAGATGATTTGTTCTTATTCGAACTAAAAGTCTTAAAAATTCTATCTTTAGGGGAAAAATGTATAATATATTTGATAACTCAAGTAAAATAAATCACATGGTACAACTAACTCTACTAGAAACTTCAGATTCTGAAGAGAAAGATCCTTTGGGCTGCCAGTACATCCACACATAATATTTTTATGTCAAAAAAAAAGACTCTCTTTATAATCCTTTAAAAATGAGATCTACACCTACGTTTAAGCTTGCAGGGAGAAGGGGAACTTACCAGGAAGTTTTGAAGGCTTGGCACCACAACCTTTCTTATCACAGCGTAAAGCCCTGTACCAAGAACCATGGCCAGTAAAATGTATGGCGTTAGGTCTACCCTTCAAATAAGAGCTGTATCCTGCCATACAGAGATAAACCTTATTCTCCCAGAGGCCAGCACCACCAAGCATAGCCTGCATCTAAGCATCTAGGACAAACCAGGTGAGGGCTTTGGGAACTGGCTCCTAATCACCCTCTTCAAGCCAGCTGTTATCATTATGACTGTCATATGCACAAACCATGGCAAAGACAGGTGGTCACGGCGAAAGAGCAGAAAGCAGAGGTGTGCTGAGGACCTAGCACCAGCTCTTACTTTCATCCCAGGGTCTTGACTTTCTTACTTTCTCCAAGTTTATCAGCCTGCTCTTAACCAGACTTCCTTTCATAATCAGCCACACTTTCTTGGAAAGATTCCTCTGATTCTTAACTTCCTCTTCTATGATGCCCATCCCATACAACCTGAGCACAATATGGCTTCACTGCACCTACAAGCACAGTGAGAGAAAATTACACCACTGTGCTGAATGATGAGCCTTCCTCCCCCCACTATCCAATTTCAGTCCCACTTGTAGCTTTCTCAGCCCACACGCCACCCTTTACTTGTCTTTGTCATCTCTTCTAATTCTCCTTAGGAATTATTGAAATCCTCGCTGTTCTTCTCAAGAGCTACATCATGCCACTAATTCTCAGAGATGACCTAGATTCCTACTTCACATATTCAAAAGAGATCATCAGTCACAAATTCCCTTCAGCACTCTGTTTCTTCATAAACTGGCCAGGAGACATATCCACTCCTAACCTCAACCTTGGTTCTCAAAGGAGGAGCTTTCTTCCTCTTCTCTAAGGTTTATATTGTAATCAGTGGTTTAAATATCTTCTCTATTCAAGGGAAAATACTGTCTAACTAATCTTGAATCACACTGGTCCAGCATAACTGGTCCATGCCTACCCCATAACATGAACTCAATAAAGGGCCAAACAAGTAAATTGCTTATTCCTTTTCTCCAAAATTCAAATATGAGGCAGAAAATACCATTTTTCAAAATTATTTAAAACTCTTAATTTATGGAACAATTCTTTCTTTTAGTACTAACCTAACTTAAATGCCTAAAAGTAAAACAAAATAAAACAAAAAACCAAAAAACCCTCACATTCCTAAGGATTGAGACTCCAAATTGGCATAACTGAATATAAGAGTACTAGAATCTTGGGGCTGGAGAGATGGCTCAGCAGTTAAGAGCACTGACTGCTCTTGCAGAGGACCTGGATTCAATTCCCAGCACCCACATGGCAACTAACAACCATCGTAGCTCCAGTTCCAGGGAATGACATCCTCTTCTGACTTTTGTGGGCATTGCACGACACGGATGCACTTGCCTACAACCAGGCTATACACTCATGCACATAAGATACAAATAGTAATAAAATATTTTTAAAAAAGAATAACAGAATCTTTGCAACTCTGTTTTGTGTACATGGAAATGCTTAGTTAAACCAAGTTTGAATTAAATTGACTTGGATCTTATAAATAGTTCAAAAAATATTGTCATGAAAATTAGAAGAAACGACATGTATGCTCATAAAGCTTATTATATAAACCTTTGAAATGATAGTAGGTTTAATGTAACATCAACAGGGATGCTTTAGAAGCTCTAGTCTGCAGAAGTACTGTAATTCTTTCAGGATGAGAAGCACATTAAAAATATACATTGACATGAAGATTTTCAAAATCTAGCTCCACAAAAGAATCAGTTCTTGAATAAGCAGCAGAAATGAGGACTTGTTGTCACTACTATTATAGTCTTTCCTAGGTTATAAAGTAAGCATTGGTCTCTAATTTTAAATGAATCATAAAAACTAATTCCATTCAACAAAAGTGTCTTAGCTCCTGTTTAGACTAGGCACTAAGATAAGTGTTGGGGATAAGAGCATGAAAACAGCGATCCCTACCCGCAGGGAATTCCTAGTAGGAAAGACAGAAATAAAAATAAATCATTTATACTATACTATGACATATCAGTGATAGGTATGAATAATCTTCGGAGTCAACCCAAGAAAGACTGATTCTGCCAAGACGATAGCAGAAAATTAAGAACGGACACAGGGGTAAGGTAATATTGACTCTGGGCCTAGAAGGATGGGTAGAAAGCTCATGGTTGGGCAGTGGAAAAGGCCCCATAAAGAGACTAAGGGACAAAGGCACAGAGGCATGGACAGAAGTCAGCAGTGATTTGCTGTGGCCAGAGCCTTGGGGTGCCTAGAGATAAGAGTGACAGTGTGGCAGGCCTTCATTCCATGCCCATGAGTTCCTTTAAAAAAAAGTATTATTTTTATTTTATGTGTATGAGTGTATTTCCTGCATGTGTGTAAGGGCATCCGTGTCATGCAATGCCCGTGGAGGTCAGAAGAAGGTGTCAGATCCCCTGGAACTCTAGCTACAGATGGTTGTCAACCACCACGTGGGTGCTGGAATTGAACTGGATTCTCTGTAAGAGCAGTCAGTGCTCTTAACCACCGATCCATCTCTCCAGCCCTGCCATGAGTTCCTTTTTAAATTCAATTACATTTATTTATTTCTGGGGAGCACAAGCATACCAAGGTGGGAAAGTGATCAGAGGACAACTTCAGGGAGGTGGTTCTTTCCTTCCACCATGTGGATCCTGAGTATCGAACTTAGTTTATCAGGTTTGGCACCAAGCACCCTTCCCCACTCAGCTATCACACCAGACCACCCATGAGTTTTTAACTTGCTTCAAAGGTAACAAGACACAAGTATAAAAGCTAATTCTGCTGTCAGCGTAGAAGGACTGGAGAACAAGGCAGATGCTGGAAGGACAGTGGAAGGGATACTCTCATCCCTTTTCTGGTGACAATGACTCCCTAGCTGACTCTGGATTGTTGCCACGTGAGTTTTCATATCACTCTAAGTCCTCTGGGATCAGGAGGCCTCAGGGGAACACCCTCTTCTCCTGCCACTGGTGTCTCCTGAACTTTTCCAGGACATTAAAGCCTGGCTCTGATTTTAGGGAGCCTCTGATCCCTGGCCTCAGAACTGTCTGCTGCTGCTTTTTCTTCCCTTAATGTGTTATAGGCCCTGCACTACTCAGTGATCAGTACCTGGACTGACCCCATCCCCCACCCCATTGATTTTTGTTTTTTGAGACAAGGTCTCATATAGCTCAGGCTGGGCTCAAACTCTGGATCTTCTTGCCTCAGCCTCCCAAATGGTAGAATTGTAGGCATATGATATCATGCTCAGTTTATTTCTTACTTTCATTCCCATAGAACAGTCTAATAACCTCCCTACAAAAAATGCACATATATATTTTCACGTAATTTTGAGGAGATTCTTAAAGTCTTTGAGATCCACAGACTCTAAATGAAAATCCTCTGAAGACAAGGGATGTAGCTGAGGGGTAGAGTACTTGCCTAGTATATGCAAGGATCTGGGGTTGACTGATAGCACTAGAAAACAGAATACAAAGGCTCAGTGGGTAAAGTCATTAGCTGCTGTCAAGCTTGATGACCC